GTCTCGTCAATCACAAGCGGGTTCAGTCTCTCTCCGTACGCTCGGTTCCAGATTCGCTGCCGACACGAGCTCCCGCCGTTAGTCCCTCCGCTCCTCCTCTTGGCCTCTGCGCGCCGGTGTCTTTGTCTTTGTAAAACCGCACTCGATACCAATTAATACCATGCTACTGGCTGGTGTGAAATATATTACTCTGGCAAAGCACCGTGGGAACGCACCCGACGTCATAAATCACTTAGGCGGAGCAGACTTACATTGATGAACGTGTGGTATTTTGGAAATATTTTTTGGCAATATTTTCGAGCCATATCGTCGTGGATTTATGCCGGCATATTTATGCTGCCTCCACAAATATTGTGGGTCACCGGTTCGCATTCAGTCGACAAAAGTCTTGCTTGTTATTTTAATGATACATTGATGATGCATGAATGAAACGAGGATCTTAATGCTCACTCTACCTGTATCGAATCTGTAAGAATCTGTTGTTTTTTATTCGTATATGTTGCGTGTACAGTGCATGTTTTTTGTTCAAATATATCCTTAACCCAAGAAAAAAACTACAATGGCAAATATAAGAATAGATTCTTGAATCAAATTGCCACCCAAAATTGTGACAATTCGTTGGATTGCAGTGAGAGGGGTTTTGGGGCGGTGGGAATTCATGCCTGCCTACAGGGATTATCCATGCTATCTTCCTGCTCAATTGTGCCTCGGATTGTAAAAGGGATCAGCCTCTAAGGAAACCATGATGCCTCCAGAAAAAGAATTCAGATTAAAGAAGATGAGGAATCTTCAGTTTTGTTCGCCGTCATGAGCAAATGCAGTCTCCCATAATCATAAAAAAATATTCGTGGCCACTCCTCTTGAGGATCGGCACTACTTGTTATTGCCACGATATAACCCTTCTCTCCGTTCACCGTTTTTACCCATCACGATCATGGCCATGATCGTGATCTCGATTAGGAGATGGCCACGGGTCGTGATTATATCCAGCCGTGAATTTGGAGCCCCGCAAGCGAACGCGATTGCTGCCATGGGTTTGGGGTTGTGGGGCGAAGGGCTCTTGATCGCGTTTCTGCCGCGTGCATGCAGAAGACGGGCTCTCTCGCGGGTTGCGCGCGTGCGCTTGTGCGGAGGAGCAGGTGCGGAGCTAGGTGAGCCCACGTGTGCAGAGATGCGGCCGCGTTGTCGGCACGTGCCTCCTCAACCGCTGCCCGTGAGTTCTCTGAAGTCCCCACGGTGCTGTCAAGAGCACTCACGGATCCTGTTTGAACTGCGTCACATCCATGGATAGCTTTCACATCACAAGACTATAAGGCCCTTCATGTGTCCACTTCCCGTTCATATTTTGAATATGACTTAAAATAATATGCAGAATATTACATTGCTATGTTGTATAAATTAATGGTGTGACGATGCCATCCATCCATTGAATCATATTTAGCCTTGAAGCTCAAAATTCAGGCATATAAATGTGCGTGTGTATCAGTGTAAATATCGATTTATTTTGATTCTTATAAAAATGCAAATAGTCTGCTTATGTTACGTTCAGGCTAATGGAGTGGAAACGAATTTCACATCGAGATGGGGAAAAAACAATTACAAATACTTCATGGTAAAACGGAGACAAAAAAATAATCAATTCTGGAATTGAATCATCGAATCGTGGGGGGATAATAATTACACTCCTGATAGATTCGACACCATATGGCCACAAGCACACATGCACAAAGCACCCCCCCCCCCCGCCTGCTAAGCACCATAAACTCTGCAGTTATAGACTATTTAGTGAGGATACTGCAGCACACGAGAGGTGAGTGAAGCCTGCACCTCACCTGGCCACAGCTATCTCCTCAGTGCTGACGTTTACACGTGGGATACTCACTTAAGGCTGAGTCAGCGTAGAGGAGGCCAAGGACGGGGCTCATTCCGGTTACTGCTGGTGTTGTGCACGATGGCCATCAATTGAAGACAGGTCACCGAGATCTTAGCCAACCAATGCAATTACGAATTGTCATTCACGCACAAAGACACATCCCCCGTGCAGCCTTAATATATTGTTCGGGAAAGTGCTGTTAGCGGCACACGAGGGGGTAGGTGGTCAGCACCACGCCCAGCCGCCTTTGTCTCCCCAGTGGCGATGTTTGCACACCGCATCAGATACTCATTTGAGGCTGAGTCGACCTAGGTCAGGCCCAGGACCGGTTTAGATAATCGTCACTGGTGTTGGCTGTGAACGGGAATCAAACTCGCGTCGCCGGGTTCGTAGCGAAGAGCGCTCCCTATGTGCATACGCACAGACACGTGCTGTGCACATTGGCGGTGATAGTTTAGTATTCAGCGTTAAGCTCTGCCTTTGTTATTTTGACTAACAAGGCTCTTAGGGCATTTTAAGGTAGAACTTGTAAAAAAGCCTTGGCAGCAAATTTAACCATTTCACATTCAGGTCTTAAGAATAGGAAAGCAGTCTCGCTAAATAGAACGGGCTTGTGTAGAGTTAAACGTGGTGTCCTTATACTTAATTCCCCTAAAGAATCCATGGAAAAAGCATTGTAATTGGCTGCATTGTGTAGTTGGCCAGGCAATTAACATAATAAAAACATATGAAGTGACACAGGTGACGGCTTGAAATGCACAACACGTGCTGTCTCAGTGTACACGGGTTAAGGACCAAACAGTGTTATTTTTCGTACGGAACTTTGATTATATTTATTGAGGGAAGTTTAAGCATAATTGTGTGTAAGCTGTAAAGGTAATGGCTTTTTTTACAGACTTGCAAGTGTGAAATGAGCGTGACTGCTCCACAAAAACACAACACAGATCGACTACTTGGCGAATTTCATCTCCTTGCAATGTAAGGCAACTCGTGTTTTATTTCATCCTTTTCGAGACGTGACTTAAGCGTAGTTCCGTGCATCGTAATCACAATCGTCACCCTCTGGAGCCTCCCCCCCCCCCCCCAGGGAGTGTGTGCATTTGCGTTTATGTTTTATGATCAGCTCTGACCATTCTCAGTCCACTGCTTGGTAAAGACACCCCCCCTCCCCCCACCCAGGGTGAGACCGCAGACTCTGTGGTGTCTCCGCCGAGGAGGGCCGCAGGTGTGCATTTGAATTTGTTATGAGAGTCATTAGATTAAATTAAAGTCTCCGGAGCAAAAAAACAACCGCCATAGACCCCGCGTCTCCATGGTGAGGTGTGTGCGCGCGTGACATTGTCGGATGAAATGACCCGCTGGTCATTTATTATTTACATCATCAATCTTATTACATTTGCCCTATCGGAGTCGAGAGGGGGAGAAATGTTCTTCCGGAATGCCTTAGACAGCAGAGCCGCACGCATCACATCAGCGGATGGCCCTGGAAGACAACACCCACTGACTGATGTGTGGAGTCACTTCGATTACTCCTACATGCGCCGTGAAGGACAGTTCACCACACATCCTTTGATGTGACATATATAATATGTAACGTAAAATTAAATGCCAAAGATATGCAGTGCATTGTCATTTGTGAGTTTGCTCATGACATCAACTCGATGGGTTTTAGAACATGGTTAATTACAGGCGTCGCAGTCGTTTTGTCTCTGAGGTTCCATTATGAGCCACCCAGCCACTTCATGGCGTTTTTAAACGTTCTTTTCTGAAACCAAATTTTTGCTCACGCGTCAGCGGAAGAGCGCAGCGTTGTGCTCTTATGTGAGCGTGCATGTTCCTCGCCCGGGCGTGTGCGCCCATGGCAAAACGAGGCAACCTTGCTTCATCAACACGAGCCAGATCCATTCCTATCGATCGACCTTGTCCTGGTGTGCACAGCCCCAGCTTTAGATGGTGTGTGGGAAGCTGGGTGCCTCAGGTAGTGGTGAGAGCGGGTCATGTGTTATTGTTATCTTGAACAATTTCTTCCAGCACACCCCTTAAGGGCCTCGATATTTCTTGTCTGAAATTGCCTGGAGAGTTTCAGAATTAGCTTGCAGGATGCCCTATTTGAGTGCTGGACAAGGAACATACGAGCGATTGAATGATGGGTTCCTTTACTCTTGCTGTGCGAGAGGAATGAGGAGGTTCAGTGATGAAAGTATTTGCCACAAGGCAGTGGATACCTTTCTGTTCTAAGAACAATAAACACATAAATTAATGAAGTATTATGCCACCGGCAATATGGCATGTTCTTAAAAGGTAGATTGGCCAGTAAAAGCTTAGGTCGTGTCTTGCTCAGGGCTGTACATTGTCTTGATCTTTCATCAATGTTCTGTGGGTTTGTTGAGAATGAGGCAAGGGATGTGAATGTGAATTGTATCTGTACTGTGGAGGCTTTAATTAAACAATTTGACAGAAACTGGTGAGAAAATACATCTGACAGCAAAACAATAATAATAATAGTTGAATAAGCACCTCAAAGTTAAAATGGTCAGCTCAGATGGCCGTATTCAAAGTTCCTCTGAAATATCGTCCAAACAAACACTTTATGTACACTTTACTTATAATACACTCATTATGACGGGGTTGGTGCTTGGCAGAGTGCTTGACTTAGTTGTGTGCCTTTGAGTTCAAATCATGACAGGGTTCAACTTGATAAACACTGTCTGAAAAATCAACAGTGGCTGTTCTTTTGAGGAACTGATCCTTATCAAAGGATTGTGGCATTTCCACCACTGGCTCAGTACAGCCACTGAAAATGTGTGCAGCCCAACTTTCATCGGAAACACGATGGGGCATTTTGACTTTACTTCTACGGCACACTGCAATTATTCACAGTGTGTAAAACAGGCTGTAACAAAAATATTTTTAGACCAATGCAAAGTGGGATGCACGTGATTTTTTTTTTCTTCCTGGAGTTGTGCCATGTACTGCGACCTGGTCCCTTGCAGATGCTGCCAAATGCTTGCCTGCAGAGCTGTGTGGAAACACGCTGCTGGATTAATTTTACCTGACCACGCTTCCCGGTGTTGTGCGGCGTGCGGAACGGTGATTGCGGTTGCAGAAACTCAGTCCACACACGGAGCGCGTTCACAGAGACCATTTGTATTAAAAACGGCCTAAAGCAGCAAAAAAGAAACCTCGCCTGATAATCGGTACAAAATATCTCATCTTAAGTTTTTGCACTTCAAAACTAATCGTTCTCAAAAGTCTATCTTGACACACGGTTTGCTACTCATTTAAGACTACGCTATCTACAAATTGCTAAGGTCTGCTTGTATCGGCATTGCCAACACTGCTTAGTAATGGACGGAGCGGAGAGGAATAGTGTTTTAATGAGAGGCAGGAGGATCTGTTGAGGGACTTAAAAAGCAGTTGTACAGCATCAGCTTCTTTGTAACGGGATTTAGTCTCACCTGATCGTAACAAAAAGGAAAGCGTTTCATGGCTGTCTCGGGGAAACGTGAACAGCTGCGAATGTATGAAAATGTGCAGTAAATTTTAGCACAAATCATAAAGGTTGTTTCTTTATCATTCCATGATGTAGGTTTTTTTTTCTCCTCATTTCTTATTTTCTAACGAAAAACATTCATGAAAAGAAAACTGCCCAAAAAGCCTTTAAATATTTTAAGGAATTGTGCTGGTCTGAGATAAAATATTAACATTGTTTCTGATTTACGTATGGAGCCTTGTTTTATTACGATGATAATTTTTGATTGCGCAGCGTTTTAGTTTTGCCCTCCTTATATTTTTTTTAAATCCAGCATACACAAACTCCGCGGGCACTCGGCTCCAGATAAACGTGAACACGGCCAAGGAACGTTGAGAGCGACAACTTTGTATGGAGCGAAATTTCCCTTCTTCTTCTTTGACAAGAGTCTGACGCATCTTGTTGGCGCCCACGCAGTCGGCCGGGCAGAAGGGCAGGCAGGCAGCTGGAACGGCATCGCGGGAGGAGGGGGCGGCCGAGTAGCGGCGTCGCCGCGTCTTCCACGCCGACCCTCGACCTCCCCGCCGCGGCCGCAGGCGCGACGCTCTCACCACACGTGCAAGCCGCTCCGCGACGTGTCCACCCGCGCGGGGGCCCTGCCCTCGCGCGCCTCCTTGTCCCGTTCGCCGTCGGGCTCCCACAGGCCGATGAGCGGCGGGTACAGCTCGTCCAGCGGGATGGACGACGCCCTGTGCACGCACCGCCCGAGCGACGGCGGCTCGTACGCCCGCCGGCGGCGGTGGCGGCCCGCCCCCCCGCGCCGCGCCGCGCACGCCGCCGCGGCCGCGGCCAGGCCCGCGACGGCGAAGAGGCACGCGGCGCCGCCCGCCAGCGCCGCGCCGGCCTCCCGCTCGGCCGCGCTCGCGGCCGCCGCCTCCGCCGTGCTCACGTTGACGCACGAGCGCTCGGACGACCGGCCCCGCTGCCGCGGGGCGCCGCCGCCGCCGCCGCCGCCGACGGACAGGCACACCTCGTACGGCGTGGCGGGCTGCAGGTGCGTGAGGTTGTACTCGTGCACGCCCAGGGGCACGCGCGCCGTGTAGGTGACGCGCGTGTTGTCAACGCGCACGGTCGCCGACGACCACCGCAGGTCGGACGACAGCGCTCCGCCGCCGCCGCCGCCGCCGCCGCCGCCGCTTCTGACGGCTTCCCCTCGGCCTCCGCCGAACTTCCACGCGACGAGGATGGAGCGGGGGTCGATGCGCCGCACCTCCAGGCGCAGGCCGTCGCGCGCCACGGACGCCGGCAGGGCGCCATCCACCCGGACCGCCACGGTCCGTGTGTCGGCGCCCTCCGAGTTGTGCGCCACGCACGTGTACAGCCCGGCCTCCTCCACCGCTATGGCCGCCACCTCCAGCGTGCCCTCGGGCCCGAGCTGGTACTTGACGAGCGGGGCGTCGGACCTGGAGGCCGCCGGCGCCACCTTGTCGCCGCGCGGCGTCACCCAGTAGATGTCGGCCTCGGGCTCCGCGATGGCGCGGCAGGCGAGGCGCACCCTGGCGCCCGACGGAACGTTGAGGCGCGCAGGGAAGGTGCCCGCGGCGATGAGCGGCAGGCAGGAGTCGGCCGTCTCGGCGAAGGCCACGTCGCGCACCCGGCGCCCCTCCAGCTCGGGCGGCGCCGCGCAGCGCATGGACTCGGGCTCGAGGAAGCGCACGGCGCCGCGGTTGCCGGCGCCCATCCAGCGGTTGACGCAGTCGCAGCGCAGCGGGTTGCCGTGCAGGCTGATCTCGCGCAGGGAGCGCAGCGAGCGCACGGTGGCGCGGTGCAGCGCGCCCAGCCCGTCGTCGTTGAGCATGAGGCTCTCGAGGCGGGGCAGGCGGTCGAAGGCGTCGCGGTGCACGAACGCCAGCTTGGGGTTGTTGGTGGCCTCCAGCTTGGTGAGCACGGGCAGGTTGACGAGCGCCATCCGCTCGATGGACACGAGCTCGGCCATGCTGCTCACTCCCAGCTCCTTGAGGTTGAGCATGTCGCGGAAGTCGCCGTCGCGGATCTGCCGCACGGGGTTCTTGTTGAGGTCGAGGAACTTGAGGGCGGGAAGGTGGCGCAGGGCGGCGCGGGGCACGGCCTCCAGCAGGTTGTCGTACAGCGAGAGGCTCTCGAGCTTCTCCAGGCCGAGCAGCGCCTCCCCCGGCACGTGCGCCAGCCCCGTGCCGGCGAGCACCAGGCTTCGCAGGTTGGCGAGCGGACGGAAGTTCGCCGGGGCCACGCCCACGATGGGGTTCTCGCCGATCATGAGGACCTCGAGGTGCGGCGTCGCCTCGAACCAGCGGCGGTCGATGGCGCGCAGCCGGTTGGAGTTGAGGTGCAGCCGCAGCAGCCCCCCGAGGCCCGCGAACGCGTCCGGTGCCACCGACGAGATGCGGTTGTGGTTGAGGTAGAGCTCCTGCAGGCTCGGCAGGATGCTCAGGCAGCCGTCGGCGAGCTCCGTCACGCGGTTCTCCTCGAGGTGCAACGTGAGCAGGCGGCTCACGTTCAGCAGGCCCACGTCGGCCACGGACGTGAAGTTGTTCTGCGAGAGGTCGAGGTCGGTGAGGTTGCGCAGCGGCGCCAGCTGCTCACGGGCGATGCTCGTGATGGTGTTGCCCTGCAGCAGCAGCACCTCGCTGTCCGCCGCCACGCCAGGCGGCACGCGCGCCAGCCGCTGGTCGTTGCAGTCGACGGTGAGCGCCTCGCGGTACGTGGACTGCGGGGTGAACCACGGGCGCAGCTCGCACAGGCACATGGGAGGGCAGCCCGCGCCGGGCGGGCGCTCCGTCTCGTCAACCGTGGCAGGGGTGTCGGTGTCGGCGGCGGTGGCGGCGGCGGCAGCGTCGGGGGTGGCCAAAAGCAGTGCCCCACATGCCACCACGATCATCCATCGCGGCGTGTGGGCCATTCTGTCGTATTGCCGTTTCTATGCTCCTTTGTGAAACTGTGAGCTGGTGGGGGATTTTGATTTCAGATTATCGCGAAGGGGTCTTGCCGAGCAGCCGGTGATTACGGAGAGGTCGAAGAATGTCGCGCGTATCCCAGATGGCTGTAGCTGGGACCACCTGTTTGAAAACATAATAAGTAAGATTTAGAATGAGAAGGTGTACGACAAATAAGATACTGGCAGAGGGCCGAGAGGTTGACTAAATGATTAAGCAATTTTTTTTCCAAATGCTACACAGCATAGAGCAAAGGGCATGCAAAGTCTGCCGCTCTTTTCAATATTGCATTTACACCTTATTTAAAATGAATGGATTCAATATGCAGAGGCAGGGTTGCCGTAATAGGTTCCATCGGACACAGGAGCCGAGATGATCAGAGGGCCGACTGGATAGATGGCCTGCAGCATTAGCTGGCGAGCGCTGTGAGAATTCCCGTAAATTTTTACCCCACATCAAAGGGGAGGTGGAAAGGGGGGTAAAAAACAACATTCTATTGTGGTCTGGTGGCCGACGCAAAGACATGGGAAATGAACGGGTGACGAACCTAGTTTGTTTGAGCACATTTTGAGAAATTATGTTTTTTGGTGTTTGTAATCGCTCGCCGCCGTGCAATCCTTGAAACGTTCGGGGTTGTGCACGCTTTATTTTTTTGCCCGCGTGGGAGGAGAATCGGCCTTTCCTTTCAGCGTTTTTATTGGGAAAGCATTCGTTTCGTTTTCCCAACCAAGGGTCCGTCTCGATGCCGACACGTACGTTCAGTTCGCGTTGCGCTGGCCATCCCGTAGCAAAAAAAAATTCCAAAGAAACCGACGGCACCAATTGCATCGACTGATGGTGCCTGCCACGTCCATTCATCGTTGCCGTTTGCCAAAATGCAGCTTGGCTCATAATACGCAGCCGGATTGTGTGCGTGCGTGCGTGGATTTTGCCATCTCCGGTTGGTGCGGTGTGGGGGCCTGGCTTGGCTCGGGTGCTTGGGTTTCTGCGAGGTGACATGTAATCACGGGAATCGATAGCACCTTATAAGGCGATTAGCGTGCATGTTCCTTGTATTAGTGGGTTCCAACTCGCTGACCTTTCTCGGCTGGAATCGACTCTGACGCTAATCAATTGGCTGCTGTCTTTCATACGGATTTTTTGCAGCTGTTGTGTGTTAGTGTATATACAGGGTGGCCCAAAAGTCAGCACACACGTGGTTATTTTAGTTATTTTAATATTGGCATTAAAACAGTTATATTGGTCATTATTTAAGTTCATATTTTATCTATTATCGTTATTAATATAAATTTGTCTTTTTTTTTCCTTTTCAGATGGCATTTAAAATGAACAGAAAAAGCGAGTTGAATATTTTTTTTTATGTATGCTTAAGAAAGCAGCTGTAATCCTTTATTTAAGTCCGAAATTTATTTAAAAAGACAATTCATGCACATATTAATACAAATGGTAGTCAGTTTGAACATTTGTTAAAATCAATTATTATAACCCTATGCGATTTGTTAAAATAAATATAATAACCCTCTGTCTCCTGACTTTTTGGCCACCCTGCATTTTGTATCGTAAAATGAAATGATACAACATATACATTGAATTTTTACTGGTAGGAACGAAGTTGTAAACTGAGTGTACCAGCCTGCAATAGATTAATGTGTCCGTCCGTCCGTCCCCTTTCAATACTTTAATAACGAAGTGAAATCTCGTGCTGTTGGGTGTAAAATAAGCAATAGACAGCGCAGAGACTTGATATGTCTTATTGCACCCAACATTTGGAAGTAGCAATGTCATAAAATTGCGCAAAATTCCAATGTTCCTACCAGCCCACCCTGCAGGGACCTGTTTAAGGATCATTCTAATTCATTTAGGCAGCCAACGCAAATGCAGGCATAGACGATCTATTTAGTGTCGCTTGCTGATTTACAATTTTTCCTGTGACTCCAACTTAAATGGCCTGTTCTTGCAAACATTGTCCTCGGAGATTGTGTATACTATGTACGCTGTTTCACATGTTACTGGATTTTTTTTTATGTTCGTCTTATTTTTGGCAAAAACGTACCGATGGCCCCATTACAAACAACGAGGCAATGCACCATGTGTTTAACCATTTAATTTAGATGTGATTCTGGCTCTGTATGTTTGTGGGTTTTTTTTTAATACAATACAATGGCCATGATGGCCCATGTATATCGAACTTCTTTTGCACCGTATGTAGCCAACCGTGCTAATCGGAGGTGCGGGGAAGGACAACATACTAGACACAAAAAGCAGTTCGAACGAAATGAGTTTTCAAAGTGCATAGCTCCAGTGGCTTCCTATTATCAGAAGGAAGAGCATTCCAGAGACGCCTGCAGAAGCACATCTGAAAACGCATGATGCACTAACCATCTTATTTCGATGGCTCGTCAAAAGCCGCTACGAGGATGACTCGAGTTTGTGTGTGATGCTTTATGCACTGGAGTTTGTGTGTGATGAGACTTAGTTTAAATCCTGTCCGGGTCCACTTAAGGCATCCCATTCTTCCCAGCCCGGTGTCATGAGCATCACTTGGTGATGCTGAGCCAGTTAGGGATGTCAACGGTGGCTGTCATATTGAGAGTTTGGAGCTCTGCCATAGGAATATGGAATATCCACCACTTACTTGGTAAAAGCAATGGTCATGAGCCACCACTAAATGCTAGAAAATACACGGGGGCACTCTAACTTAATTTAACACTGTCATTAAAATGTTTTTATGTTTTCATTGCAATGCAGGATCATGGGAGGTGGCGACAAATTGGGGAGGCCTTCATCCACCGTTGGATTGAGCAAAGGCTGATGATGATGGTGATGACGTAAAGAAAGCCAGTGTCTCCCCATGCTCAGACAAAAACATTTGCCCGTGCTCATCTTCTTGGTGGCTCTAAGCCAGGGATGAACATACCGTGTTCTTCTGATAAAGACCAGTCCCTCAACCACTGGTGATTTCCCATCAACGCGGTGTGCAGCCTCTCCCAGTGACGCTCATTTTATCCACCCTGCGGAGATGGTGATGTTGATGATGATAATCGCGATCGTGACATTAATGGTGCTAAGTCAACTCTGGCTGGGATTTCAATTTGCGAGTACATGATTGGGAGCCTTGCCATACTTACACATTGGCCCCGGTTTTCAATTGCTTCAGGATATCAGAATAAGAATATTTATTTATACTGGAGGAATCCGATGAGCTTCAAAGTTATTTTTCACAGATGCCCAGTCAGGATGGGTAAGAACGTTACAATAACAAACAAATCAACACATGATAGAAGTGCACTTTCTTGGTTGGTGCGCGCTGGAAATGTGTGCGTTACTGCCCGAATGTGCACTTGGCAATTATTGAGCAGACAGGCGAACTTAAAGCTCAAACCCGCTGATATAAATGTATTGTGTTGGTCTTTTTAAATGTTTTTTTTTTTTACCAGACGGTAATTTATTCCTTGTTAAGCGATTGTTACATTATAACTCGTTTTTCGGTATTAATGAGTTGCTAGATCGTTCGTGTGTGTGTGTGTGTTAACAATATGCATCTGCCACATACTAACTATATTTATTGTGCATTAATGCTTTGGTTAACAGTGTGATAGTCATTAAACGTTTAATTGTATCCGCACATCTTTCAACTTAATAGAACAAAATGCTGAATATGTTTTTGCTAGTATTTTCGTTCTAGCCAAGTAATGTTTTAAAATGCACGTGTGTGTGTGTGTATATATATCGGTGTTTGCAGTACAATTTGTCTGCAGCTGAAAGCAAATGAGAATTCTGCAGCTGAAATGTATTCAATGGGCAAGCGCACAACACTGCCGTTTGTTTTGTACAAACAGATGCTTGCGAGAGTTGCTATCGGCGCTTGCTATGCCTAGAAGGTGCGGTCAATATTCCGTGTGCTGTTCCAGCTTTAAACTGGCACCCCCTGCCTGCATCGTTATTGCAGGGCTTTGTCTCGTGCGGCAGAGAAGGAAGGGAGGGGAGGAGCAAGCAGAGATCGGGAGTGTGAGGGATGCATGCGTAAGGCTAGGGATGATAACACTGAGAGAGGGAAGTGAATAGAATAATAATAATAATGGATCTTATTTACCCAGGAAAGCCTCCCTGAGTCTCAAGGGTCTTTTTCAGTCGTGTTACGGTTATGGATGTTTGCCATTTGGGAGGAAACTGGAGTAATTGAAGAGAAAAACCAACTCGTACGAGGAGTAGCGCTCAAAGCTCCTTTCTGAAGATTCCAAAATCTATTGTTGAACTGTCATATTCTGGTCACCTCACAACTCAAGTCTACAGTGACTGATATTCCCAGACATTATCCCATCCAAATACTAACCAGGCAAGAATTCCCTTAGATTCAGATGCGCCTGGATTGGGCAGATTCAGGCTGATTTGGAAGTAGGATGGAGAAAGGGAGAGTGAGTGGGCAAGACACGAACCCAACTGAGACCCAGACAAACATTAGAATGGACACGAAGGCAGACACTAAGCGCTTTTGATAGAGCAGTGCGGAGAGAGTGGCAGACAGGCAGATGGACACGGACAGACACACAAAGAAGAAGACTGAGTTGAGGGAAGGATTTGGGCAGAACAAAAATAATCAGAGCAATTATAGGGTCATTAATATATAGGTTCATGCCTGATTGGGCGTTGTGACTACTGCAGCAATAACACACGGCTTTAGCCAGTCTCTTTCTCTTTAAACTCCTGCTTGCCAGACACTGTCACCAATCTTTGTGTTTTACCAAGGGAGGGTTAAAAATGTTTTTTTGCATTCCCCAAGCTTCAGTTATAATCAACGATAGCCACACAGCCCTTCGCAGTAATTAATGTTTCCTTTTGCTGAAACTTTTCGTTCTTTTTTCGTGATATAATTACAATTTGAGTTGATTTACTTTTGTTTAAAAAAAACTATGGCTCTCTTACCGTTAAAATTAGCTTAGTATATCTGTGGTGAAATTCTAATAAAAATGCATTTCAGTGGATATTATTTTTTCGATTATCCTACGAAATGTAATAAGAATGGTAGTAATGTAAATTTAATAACCGACAATACTTTCTTCGGTTATATTTGTATCATTGTAGAAGTAACTCATAATTAAGTACTTGTACTCTAATCACTAAAC